TTTCTAAAGTTACGCTCTGATTTGTTGTGTATAGAAGAATGAGTTCTTTGGTATTTTATCAATTCTCTAAAGTTATTTATAGGGTGTTTCTCATAGTACTATATAAACAGGAAAAAGAGGTTCTGTCATTATTGTCAAATGTTAACGTGCAATCCTTGCGAATTGTGACAGTTAAACAGGGTGTTTAAGTGGTGATTCTTTTAAGTTTACGTAGTGACTCAATTTAGTTTATCTCAAGATTTATAATCTACACGGTAATATATTCACGACAAGACTAGAAGTAAGGCAGCTCAATTGATTCAGAGATATAATGATATGTTTATTGATGATAAATAATAAAATAAAAGATAATAATAATATATATAAGATAAGAAAGAATAAAAGAAATCCAAAATGTTAAAATACTAAGTGAGATATTAGGTCAGGCACCTCTACAAAGACTACTAGATGTGTATCTAAGAGCAAAACTAAAAGAAAACTAAAAGTGAATTACAAACGAACTACTATTTACATAATTCTATTGCTTTCTATTTATATTAAATTAATACATAGATGGATATAACAAATAAATCAAATATATCTAATATGTCTGATATGTCAAAGATATCAATTATATCAAATATGTTTAGTATATCAAATATATCAAATATATCAAATATGTCTGATATATCTGACATTTAGATCTGCAATATACTGTGCTATGTTTATCAATCTAATCCTGTTATAATAGTATTGATAATGTAATTAGAGCATCGCTGATAAAAGAATTCCAATGTTTGACAATGACCATTAACATCACCAAGGCATTGATAAAAATAATTATTTGTATCAACTGAAAACTGCAACCTTCATCCAATTTTTAGTATGTAATCCATTCTTAATAGTGGTAGAGGAATGGGTAAAGGAGGATACATAGACTTTGTAATAGTATTATGCAAAGGTTTGTAAATTATTCCAGCAATTAAAGGTACATAAACCATTGAACCATATGCACAACAGCATGAACCAATAGCATTTATCATAATCTTAAAAGTTGAATTATCAAATTCATATAATTGGTTGACTTTATCTATACAGTTGATAATTATGACCTTTTCTTTGTTAATATCTAATGTAATAGTACCTAGAACTGTTATTAGATTTAAGTAATAAATGTTTAAAAAGGATCTTCTTATAATATCAACAAAGTTACGAGATTCTAAATTAGAAACTCCTTTCACAAATATTAATAGAGAATCCATAATGATAAACTTAATTCACTACCAATAAACCTATCTGTTATAAAGGCAATACTAGCATTCTCATATGTAACATCAATCAACACAACATTATCAGTTTTTTCAAATCAGAATCACTATCATTTTCTGCGTATTGTTGCAACATATTCAAACTTTCTTTCAATACTCAAGTTTTTTCAATACCAGGTCCTGCTGCAATAAACAGAATTGGATAAAAATTACAGTCTTCAATGTTGTTCAGAGATGATAGTAATGATTTTTAACACCATTCTTATCTAAAATTCCATTCAAAATCTAAGAAACTTGAAATCTTTCCATATGTGACTATAAGCTGAATAATAAAATTACAAAAATATGTTAAGTAAATATATCAATAAATGACATGTATTAATTTTAATTTACCTTTGGTGAAAATTCATTAGTTGATCTTCTATATTTTTGAATCCAAGACAAATAAATTCAGGAATAACAATATAATTTTGAGAGCCTTTTATGAAAAAAGGGTTATTAAGTTGAATATTCAGCAAAAAAAAAGTATAAAACAAGGAAATTGACCTACCTTCATCAAACAAAGAATAATTTCAAAACAAATAATAATCAAGAGATAATAAAAAAAAATATGACATTATTTTTATTATTTTCACAATATTCACAACAAAATGAAATAGACATTACCTTTGCTAATACATCACTTGCTTTTTCCACTTCTCTATATCTTTCAATAAATTTATAATTTTTATTTATTTTTCCATAACTTTCTTATCCTTCTCTAAAATTTCCTTTTTCTTTTTCATCTAGGGTATCCAGGTGATGCGGATTTTTATTCTGCAACAAATATGATTGGCTGATCACAATCTTAATGACTAAATAATTTATTCTGGACACCCTAATTTTTTTATGAAAAATTTCCCAAAAAACCGTCTTTTAAATTCAAAATGGGACTTGAACCTTATAAGATAATACTTCATTTATTAACAAAAGAAGGACCACAAACATCAAAACAATTATTTTCATATGTAACAAAATATCCACAATTAATATCTCATAAACATTTAAAACAAAAAATATTACTTCAGATGCAAAATTCAAAATTAATTTATAAAAAGGTATCAAGGGATCCTCAACTTACAAAATTACCAGCGGATAGGGAAGTATTTCTTTGGTTTATTAATGAGGATAAAGTTAAAAAGTCATCACATAAGAAATTGGATCCCGGATTCATAGTAAATGAAAGTGAAGTTGATTAAAAGATAATGTAAAGAAGGAAGAATTTTTTTAAAAAAAGAGGTTCGACATTTTTGTTTAATTGAATTCACATTTTATTTGTATACATATTTATTATTAACGCGTGAAAACTTTTTAACAGAAGAGGAAATAATTATTTTAAAAGATTTAAAAAGATTTTATTATTATTTTATTTTATTTTTCTTTCACCACCTTTTCCTATGTTTTTGAGGAGGTAAATATATATCATCAATATAATCAGGTTTAAAAGGCCATTTATCAAATATAATTGAAAGTTCACTATAATTTTCTGCCGTCATATTTCTAACTGGTATATTTAGATCGAATGATAGATCTTTTGCTAATGTATTCGCACCAGCTCCCAGCGTACTATTTATTATAATTCAAAAAGCCAAAGATTTTTAATGAGGATGGGATTATTATTAAATAAAATGACAGTATTATATCATTAAGTTACCTTAACATCTCGATTACTTTAGCATTTTTCCTTGACATTAAAGTCTTTATTACAAATTCGAATGTATGCCATGAACCTGATATAATCACGCATAATTGATTTAACTTCCCATTCATGAACTTTTTTTTATTAATGAGAAAAAGAATTGATAGCTTACCTTGTAGTTTTGGTTCAACAAGTGGTGTCACTCCAAATAACGCGCATTGAATCTGTATTTAGATTTAAACGATTCATTCTTAATCTCAATTACAAAGAAAAAATTAAATAAATAAATAAATAAATAAAAATCAAATATTCACGTTCGGATAAAAGGCTTTTTCGGGAAAAATTTTTAATACTTCAACATCAGCTATAGCTTCCAATTCAATTTTTAATTTATGTCTTTGTAATTCACCCTCCTTCGCCAATAATTTCTAAAATTAATAATTTAACAATTTATAAAAATGAACATATATTCGATATCACACGGTTAAGACAAATATACCTCAGCAGCTTTTTCTGGCGCGATGAAATTCATGCGAGATCTACCAAATGAATGGAGACCACTTTTATTATAACAATTTGATATTAATTTATTTAATGAAATTTCTCCTCTTGATGTATTAGGTAAATGAATTAACGTAATTAAATTAGGATGGACTATTAAAAAAAAAAAAAAAAAAGTTTAATATTTTAATTTAGCGAAAAAATTCTTTTTTTTTCAAAAAAAAAAAAATATATAATGTATATATATATATATGGAAAAGGCTTGGAATAATAGTTAATTACCTTCTTCCCAGGGATGTATTTGTATATGAGTTAAATGAGTTTTTATATGATCATAAGTATCCCATTTATAGATATCAATATTTAAAATTTCTAATCTACCATCTGATTCTTTTACTAATGTTGATAATTCATTTACATATCTTTTATCATTTTCTAATGCGATGATTTTTCGAGCATTGGTATGATTTAAAAGAGCATGTGTTAAGAAACCCACTCCTATTGATTATTTTGAAATCGAATCAATTCAATGTTTTTTTTTAATTAAATTAATTTACAAAATTGTGAATTACGGTTATAAAAATTACCGGGAGAAATTTCAACTATCGTTGCGTCATTTGGAACCTTTAATGTTTTTACGGCTTCAACTAAATCATATACCGACAAAAAGTTTTTCTTAAAATAAATAATTTCGTTAACACTTTCAATTTAAAATACTTACTTGCAACTTTCATGTTATTAAGGCTTATTCTTTGTTTTCCCATTACGCGTTTAATTACTGTAGGTGACCACATATTCCTTCAATTCGCGTTTCACTCTTAAATAAAAAAAAACTTTTTTAAATAATTCTGGCGTTGCAAAAAAAAAAAAAAAGATAATCCCGATATTCAAATTCCAATCTTCCATGGAATTCTGTGAGATTCTGTGGTATTAATTTAACTTAGAATTTTTTGAACCTAACTTTTAATTTTCAAATATGTCAAAAAAAGAACAAAAAGGTACAGCAATTATTCAATATTTTCTCGTTTATTTTTCTTATTTTTACAAATTTTTTTTTTTTAAAAAAATAAACTTTAGAAATTGATGAAACGACGCGAAGAAAAAATATAGAAATTCATTTAAATGAGTTAGAAAGAGATAATTATCAAGAAATACCCGAACTTGAAATTGTAACAGGAACCATTTCAAAACCTCGTCGGTTTTCTGATTTGGCTGATACGAGTCAACGTAAGTTAACCGACCCATTTCTCCGATTGTAAAAAAACCAAGTATTCATTTGTTTTTTTATCTATAGATAGGAAATCCAAACGAACCAAAAATCAACATATAAAATCAATATCCAAAAGAAGTTTTAAAGCCTTATTAGATGAATCGGTAATATGTATTATAATTTAATGATTTTTTATTTTATTATCATATACACTAATTAAAAACTTTTAATAGAAAATAGCGGAAAAACCACCAGACATTCCAACATATTTAACAGCTGGGGCTAAACCATCCAGATTTCCTCCAAGAAAATTCTGTTCGGTTTGTGGATTTATTTCAGCTTATGCTTGTAAAAAATGTGGGATGAAATATTGTAGTTTAAGATGCAAGGAAACCCATGAAGAAACGAGATGTATGAAATATACCGTCTAAACACGCGTGTCCTCCAATGGAATACATCACCCTTTTAAAAAAAATCTCAAAATTAATTGTTTCGTCAAATGTTCCTTCTTTTTTCTTATTAATGGTATTTATTAAATAATAAAAAAAGTTCAAAAAAATTTCTATCAAAATTAAACGTATTAACGGGACATTAATTGACTCTACGCGTGTATAGATTATGTAAGTAATGAATAAAATAATTGGACAAATCAAAAATTATTATATACAAATAAAAAATAATTTTTTTTACACGTATCATTCTATCTCATCGTTTCCTTTTCCATTTGAAAATTCAGCTACATCTTTCCCTGAAATTTAAGAACAATTGGAGCTTTGATTCCGAACAAAAGAAAAAAATGTTAATTATGATAATTTTTTTTTTCGAATCAAATTATTAATATTGAACTTACTGATGATAGCAGCCAAGATGAGAATTACGGTTACAGCAATAATAACTGTCATTTTTGAACTCTTCCACCACATCTTCTTATGAACTTTTTGGGAATGAGTCTTAAATTTCGTAGCGGAATCCGACAACATGGCTAAAGATATAATAGAAATGGTTTTAGTTCTTAAATTATTTATGAAATCTAACTTTATGGATATCACATACCTGTTTGTTCCGATAAGTCATCTAATTTTTGCCCTCTACTGGCAAGATCCTGAATAGTCTTATTAATTTCATTTTTTGTACTAGCAATTTGCTTCTGTATTCCTTCAATCTTGGTTTGGCTAGGAGGGGGTCCAGTCATTTCTGGTACTCTATCATAATGTTCTTTTTCGGAGGACCTATATTATTTTTCAGCATAAAAGGTTTAGACTAATAATTAATACTATATTTTACGCTGAAAAATTTCCTTTTTTTTACGTTAGAAAATAAAACTTACATCGTTAATAATCCTTTTTTTTCACTTAATTAAAATATTTTTTTTTTTAAAAAAAAAAAAAACTTATAATTGGCGATTGCGGCGGTGTTGAAACGGATGTCTGAATGTAAGTAAATAAAAATCGAGTTGCTTTTTATAGCATTCATTATTGTACTACTACTAAGGGAGCTATTTCATTTATTAAATGGAGAAATATTAATTTTAAAACTATTTTTAGTGTATTTGGCTGAAATTGTTGTAAAAGAAATTTGGGATCTACTTTCACAAATGTGGCAAAAAAAAAAAAATTTCAAATTGGGAATTAAAATGGCTTAGCTATTTATAAAACTTATCAAAAAAAAGAGCGAATTATTATAAAATAAACTCGAAATTAAACACTTTCGTAAATATGCGATTTTCTTTTGTGGCTTATAACTTTTTCCTTTTTCAAATAAAACGGAAATTGATTGATAAATTTATATTCCGATTGATGATGAAAGAGGCTTATCACTATAATGGATATCACGTGTTGTGAATTTTATTTATATGCTAATTATGAATTAATTTTTATTAACTATATTACGTTTATACATTATGCTGCAGTATTTTTCTAAGCTCTCTAATTATATAAAAAAAATAAATTTCTTTACAATCAGTAATTCTGTTTAATAAATTCTATTTAATAAATTAAAACAATAATTTTATCTTATATATTTTTTTTAATTCTTTTAGGTTACAACGCGTTTTTTCATCATCAGAATCATCATTATTTTCTTCTTTATCTTTGATATCATTATCATCTTTATCTTCAACATTAATTTTATTGCTATCATTTTGCTCAATATCCCATTTATTTTCATAATCAATTTCTTCAGAAATTCAATCATTATCATCATTTTCTACTACTTTATCATCATCATTAACATCATCCAATAATTATCATAATTGGCAGTTATCTTCTGAATAGTTAGTTTTTTTGAAAATTTATAACATTTAAAAGATCTTTAAATAAGATTTTATTAACTTTATCTTAAGATTCTTTAATTCATATTGCAAAACTGTTAAATAAAAAAGGTTTTTTAATTTTTTCTGGCTGAAGTAAATATTATCACTGGGTTCGTTTTCGTTTATCTTAATGTTTAAGTTGAAAGGCTGTGGCAGCTGATTCTACATAATAGAGTTTCCGACCTTAGGATTTTCTCTAAGTTCTACAGGTATCTGTTATACTTGAATCAACTCGGCAATTTATCACGTCTTAGAATTTAAGATATATTAATCAAACTCGTAATGATGAACTCAATAGTAAGTTAGTATAGGGTATCATAACAATCCTAGATGAGGGACAATGTTGAAGGAAAAAGTAGTTTATATAGATTTAAATTGATTCCTTTATTTATAACTTGAAACTTATATGAAACTTACAAACTTATAACTGAGTTAATTTACAACTTAAGCAAAAAGCTATCTATTTATACAAAATGACTTTGCTACGGCTAGCTACTTGTTATGCTATAAATTAACTAAATATAGATATATGTTTCAATAAAAATATACTTAAATATAATAAAATAATAAAAATAAT